ACCAAACATCTGCAAGGAAAGATCACTATGTGTATGCCATGCTATCTCTTTCAGTTTTGGTGACTGTACTGAAGGCAATTGTTTCAGGAAGACGGGCACAAATAAAGAAACAAAGACTTTAAAAGACCAATTTGCTTTAAAATAGGCTTCAAAGAGTGCAGTTTTCTTTCTGCCTCGCCTAAAGGGGTTCTGTACTGCAAACTGTTTTCCCAGAATCTTGTAATGTAGTAAGAGAAAATTAGTCAATTTTTTTCGACCTGAGATTCTTTGTAGTGATGGCCCAGTGTACAGCACTGAATCCCGCAGATTCCTGGTCCCACAAGCTTCTAACGAGAACTGCCTGGCTCACAAACCCTGCCACAAAAGCACCTAACAGAAGACTTATTTTCCAGTGTTTTATCCGTCCTATGCCTTCTTGGGGCACACAGATTTATGTGTTAAGCTTCTTCCCCTGCTGGGAGGTGTAAGTCAGAGTCTCCAGGAAACCTGACTCTGAGTAATTCTGAGTAACCAGCATCCCTTTTGGGCACCCTGGAGTACCTTGGCATATCCATCCCCAATGGGGCTCTTCTGAGATTACCTTCCAAGGACAGTGAACAGAGAGATGGTTCCATCCTGCACCCTGGACTGAGAATTCATCCTGGTTCACAACCTTCTCTTAGCAAATAGTATTTTACACTTTAACTGGATGCACACATTTTACCTTGGCCCCGCTCAGCTAGAAGTCAGCACGGTCAGGTTGCTATTGTTCTTTCCCCAGCCATTCCTCTCCTCCATCTCTCACCCTGCCAAGCACACAAATATGGCAGAAGTTCACAAACTCTCTTCTTCCCAAGGATTCTGGGTGATCGGTGCTCTTTCTTTTTGTAAAACTGCTGGGGGCAGTGGTGGCTTCACACCGGGGGAAGAAGGTGCTGAGGAGAGCGAGCCTGTGCCTGTAATGGCTAGACATGGCCCACCAACTCTAGCAGCAATGTTGGAGTCTACTTTCAGAAGCAGTAGCCCTCAGAAGGGTCTCAAGAAAGCTTCCTTCTCCAGGGAACATACCAGGCCATGGTCTGGAACTAATGGGATTGCCAGTCAGTGGGGCTTGAGGAAGGTGGAGGAAGAGATTCAGATGAGCAAAATGACAAACCCTAGTGGAAATCCTTCTGCTCCAGAGTGGAAAGCACTAGAGAGAGCTTCCTTGCCTATGTCATGTGCAGGCCAACCTGTGATTTCAAACAAGGACTAAACACATGGAGGGAAGTCTACCCCCTAACGAGCTAATAATAACCCCCCTTATCTATTTTAGAATGTTTATTTATGACCATCTTATAGAAATTGGTATCACAGATGCAACTCTAGAACTCCAACCTGACAGACACATTGGGAAACCACCTACATCTCTTCGTAGGATGTACACATGCCATTCTCTTACTCTGGAGACGAGAATCCACAGCCCATATCGCAGCGCTGTTTAAACAGGCGGAACAGTGTTTGCTTCTGTTTCTTCCCAGGCCTACTCTAAGCAGTGCTTGAGGCATGAACTCTGATAAGGGGTCAGATAAACACACAAGCATCTGCACACCTTTATCCCAGCCGTCCTCAAAGGCAGGGTGATATGTTACCTTCCTAAACTCATTTCTGGTTGCTTCCCCTCAAACAAACACTACGAAGAAACTGGGTCTTGTATCAGCCAGCCCACCTTATCTTCCCTCTAAGTGCTTTGTGGGAGTAGAATGCTACCCTTGACCTTCTACACAGGTAACTTCTGGTGCCATGTCTCAGTTCCACACTGGGAATAAAAGGGAACTCAAAATGTTTGTGGAATGGCAAAAGAATAAAGAGATTAAAAACATCACCATCCATAGGCAGGCAGTAAAGGCTGCTCACAAACAAGAGACCACAAACCACTCAGCTGGGAAAGAGGAGGAAATGGACTTTTGTGCAGAATTTTGCTTTTTAAGTATCAGGAAGTCCCCAAGTTCACTGACAGTTACTCTAAAACACGATGTCCTTAAATGCTTTCCTTACCCACACTTACATCGTACATATCACTGACATTTAGCATCTACTTCTAGGGAAAAAATAGACTAAAGAGAGCTAGGGAGATGGCTCAGAGATAAGACAAGGAATCTCCAACACTTACATAAAAAGCCAAGCATGGCCATGAGGATACATATTACCCTCGAGGTTGTGGTAGGGCCATGAAGGCAGGAGGATCGCTTGGGCTTGCTAGCTGCCAGCATCCATATGTTCAGCTTGTATTAGCCCGTGATTCTAGTTGTAGGGAATTTGATTCTTTCTTCTGGCTTCTGAGGACATTTGTACTGATGCACACATGCATACACATACTTTTAAACATCTTAAAAACTATTATATGTATTTATTCATGTGTATGCATGTGCCTGTATATATTTGGTCAAGTAGGGGAGATCAGAGGACAGTGTGAAGGAGTTGGTTCTCTCCTTCGGTCATGTAGGACTTGGGGGTTGGACACATACTGTTAGGACGGTTGTGAACGACTTTATCTGTTAGGCCCTCTTGACATCATAAGACTACACTCAAAGCACCCGAGAACTAGGTTGTAGCAAATCATTGATGGTTTATGAGGTCAAGAGGGTAAATGAGGATCTGACCTGCTTCACGGCAGAATGACGTCCTGGTGACACTACACACCACATGCTAGGACTGCAGGGACCATCAATCTCAGCTTCTCCTGTTGCCCATCTTGAAATGGGTCTCCAGGGGTGCTGGGGCCCAGGTTACACAGCTGCCAACACTGAATGCAAAATGCAGGTCTCTCAACTCCTCAATCGCCTTTCACTGCCTTCCTCTTCTTGTGCGAGGCACGATGCCTCTCTACCCTCTGAGAGCCAGGTGGAGACACCTCCAGGGGTAAAGGCCAGCTGCTAGGAAGGAAGACGTTGACAGATGGGAGAGGCCACTAACGAGACACGCAAAGGGGTAAAAGCAATGAGTAATGAGTCTGAGGCAGAGTCTGTAAGAGCTGTCAGGCTGGGGGGTTCTTTGTCAATGCTGTGGCAATTATTGCTCACGCTGTAAGACACCCACGCTTAAGCCCGTCTGTGTGCAAATACACATTCCCTGAAAATAACCTGCATTCCCCACTTGTAATGCCCCTCTGTGGCACGCTAGGGACTAGTGGGAAATAGAAGGCAAGGGTTAAAAGGGTGGAGCGCGGTTAGGAGAGGTGGCTGATACCGTATTTACTAGTGGAGAGCTTCCCTCCAGTCTCAAGTGATGTGCTTTTGAAAACAAAGTTCTCGGCATGCTTGAGGAGCTCTCTGGAATTTCACATCTTCTTCCTCTCAGCCTCATCTGTTTACAGAGGGATTTTCAAGTGCCCTTAAGGTTGGCCACATGGCATTTCCAAACGTAGACTTCAGGACCTTTGAGAACCTCACGTAATGCGCCTCAAGTCTGCCATGAGCCCTTCAGAGCAAAGGCGTGAAAGGGAAACCCACGGAGTTAGGCGCAAAGCCAGCCTTATCACAGTAACTGTTCTCGTTTCAACTAAAGTTAGGCCTGAAAATGACTTTCTATAAGACACACTTCCTGTGAAAACAGCACCTTAAAAACCATCACTATGACAACAAGCTACCTGGTGAGCACATGGGGTTTGCAGTGAAACATACTAACACTTAAAGCCCGGCCCCAAATTGTTTCATGATAGTGACTAAAACTTTCGTGGTAAGAGGGTTTTTTTTTTTCTTTTTATGAAAGTAAATATGCAAGTCTCTTCCCCTGTGTGAACCCTGAGCCAAGCTAGTGGTCCATGGCTAATGAACAAGTGCCATACGGCAACCCACGGGCTTATGAAGTGCCACTTTCTTTGGTGGTGGTGGTGGTGGTTGTGGTGGTGGTGGTGCCTGGAGTCGTCAATATACTCGACCTCAACTGTGCAACTAAGAATAGAAGCCATTATCACAAAGCAAGTCACATGCTTCCAGAATCGATAGGCCCACACCCACAAATGAAAACACACTAAAATAGCAGCACCTTCCATGACTACAATGAGCCACCAAGAAAATTTGAATTTAAAGATGTAAATTTTTATAAGTGTGTGTGCGTGCACACATATTGTCTGTCACATGAGTGTGGCTGCCAAGTCTGATAACATGTGTCCCTTAAGATCATACAGAAGGAGAATGTGCTCCAAAGCTCTCCCCTGACCCTCACATGTAACCTCTCCCCCAACACACACAATCAACGAGCATAATTTAAAAACTTAAGAGGTTCAAAACGTATAATAAATGTGCTACAAAATGTGCAGCTACATATAGGTAATGCTCACACATTTTAGTTGAAGTTGGCTCTTTATTTCCTAAAATGTGAAGATACCATTACTCCTGTTCTCAGAGGGGTGCACTGACCACCCAGGACTTTCCTGTGGTCGCCCCCTTTCCTGTCAACACTCTCCCAGCCACTTTATCAACCCCTGGATCCTAAACCTCATCAAGAGCCTTCAGCTGACTTGAAGCCCAGTTTACTAATCTCAGCATCGCAGATCATCACCCCAATAAAGACCTATTATTTTTCAGCTAATTCTGAATCAGAGAAGAACCCTAAATAATGTATTTCCATACAGGTCTTAGATTTTCAAGGTCAGAAAAACAAGCAAACAAGCAAAAACCAAAAATCCAATATTCTGGTTAAGAAAAAAAGAAACAAGATAAATAATGATATTAGTTATGCACAGAAATCCAGGTCTTTAATCCTCAGCCTATTTATCATCCTAGAAGAACAGCCGCAGACACTCCCCTATACATTTGATACCATCGTCTACCCTGTATTCCACTTTCATTCCACAAGCTGATCATTAGCAGTGCTCCACAGAAGCCAGGGGAAAGGCAAATTCACGGTTAACACACACAGAACCTCTGCCAAAAACAAGGACTCCACTGGGTGATCACCCAGGGCACACACTGACAGTCCCTCACACCGGGTTTACCGAGCTGTATAAGGCAAGCCTCTGCAGTGCATTTTTCACTTACAGCATCCACTGTGCTCTGCTCCCAGGAAGCCTCCCCGAGACTTCACCATGGAAACGTCCCTCGGCTGCTGGGCCACGGGTTCTGGTGTTGTCTTTCTTCCTTTCACAGAGAAGAGGAGAAATACCTGGCATGGAGACAGCCCAGAAGGAAAACAATGGTAAATCCATCCATCCATCCATCATCCAATTACTTCTTCCAACAACCTGGACATCTGGTCAACCAAAGGGGTAGTTCACCAAAGACCATTTCCAGGACCTGTTTTCTTGGCTTTTGTTTATTTTTACTTTACTAAATTTGATTTTGTTCTTGACACAGAGAACCAATCGTGGCATAACCAGTCTTTCATTTTTCCCCTCTCTCATCAAGTTGAAACCAGTTCTAGGAAACTTCAACCCCAACCCCAGGTGAGACACAAAATTGCTCAAAAGAAACCACTTATTTGCTGGAGTGTGTGGTGTGTGCCTGTAATCCTAGCATTGGGGAGGTAGATGTAAGAGGACTAAGTCCGTCTGAGTTACAGGAAACTCTATCTCAAAAAACCTGAATGAGCAAAGACAGAGAGAGAGGGAGTCAGAGTGAGAAACCATTGCTCGGGGAATGGCTCCGGGTATAGCACCTGGTCAGCACTCCTGAGCTCCTGGGTTTAATCCCCAGCGCTGGAAAAACACACAGGATCCCAAGGAGGTCACTTGACTTTACGCTTTGCAAAGGGAAGCAAGGACTGCATTTTCGTACCCGTCTGTGTGACTGGGAAGACCAGTAAGTGCTCTTGAGAAGCACTTGCAGTTCCCCAGAAGACCGGCACGCTATCAAAGGCAGGTGTTATTATTGGTCACAGCCTGCTACTGAGCTCCGAGCCAGAGCATAAAAGCTAGCTTTGGCTGGGCACCAACCATCAGCTCTCCCTGGGGCACTCAAATGTCTACACGACCTCACGGTGCTGTGCTGGGGGGGGGGGGAGAGGGGCAAAATCAGAGACTCCTGGAATCTCCATGGAGACATTTTCATGAAGAAAAGAAGGTCCGGGGCAGGAAGGGAAAGTTGGAAGGTGTGCAAGGTAGACTCCAGAGCCAGGCAGGGGTGTGGCTGTTTGGGCCACAGCAAAGGCTCCCCATCAATTCCAGGTCTGTGCTGTTTCCTGTGCCCAATGTCTGCAGGGCTGAGAAACTTTCCACTTGCCTCTCTGCCACTTCTCCCCAGCGACTGTAACACTCACATATAAAGAGGTGGCAAAGGGAGAGAAAAGGACTGGCTCTGGCTGGCTGGTTGCGTTCATGCAAAGGCCTGCTCATAGCCCAGTAGAAAAGTCTCTACTCCTGGATGTTTTGCCCATCTTCCTTGCAGACCCAGGGACAATCGCGTTGGTATTATGCCCTTGTGACGCATCGAGGAGCAACAATAATGGGATAAGAATGAATGTTCACCAGGGGCTCCGGGTGATGACGGAAGCATAGGTCGCCCACTCCCGTCAGCTTTGTCTTCTCAAAGTCACGCGCACCGGTTGAACCCAGGTAGGAATTGTAGTCTTAGCACAGTGGATGTGGAAAGAATGATTTCAGAGAAAGGGAGAGAAAAAAACAGTGGCCCTCTCAAATAATAAGAATAGTGGCGGTGATAATAAAGAGTAAAATAATATCAAATCTTAGATTTGGAATTGATAACGCTGATCAGCAGAACTCAAAATAAATTTTTAAAAAGGGAGAGACAAAATTAGCTCCGAAAGGGGGAAGGAGGTGTCTGTTCTCCTGTGATTAATTGTGGCTCCTATAGTGGATCTGGCTTACCAAGTGCTTTCTTATTAATTAGCACATTCAGAGGACAGAATTTCACTTAATGCCACTATACCCAATCAGGGCCAGAACAGTGAACAAGAGAGCCAAGGGCCTTGCCCTTCTGGCACCAAGAGGGATAGAACATGTATAATATTTGAAACCTAAAAAAAAAAAAAAAGATTTGAAACCTAGACAATCATCAGGAAGGGACATTACACACTCTGATTTGGAGTGTGGGGCCCAGGAAGGCTGCTGAGAAGCCAAAGGTGGAATTTAGCACTGGCAAAGCTGGAGGTTCCCCTCAGTGGCAGAGCCCTAGTCTAGAAACAGGCCTCAGGTTTCAGCCAGAGGAAACAGGCTGAGCGTCAGTGGGCCTGATCCAGGGCTGCTTAGAGGGAATCCTTTAAGTCTCCATGATGAAGAAGAAATGAGTAACAACGATCTCCAGCGACATCAAAGGATGCGTTCTCCCCTCTGACTACTACACCACTTCAGCGAGACAGCGCCCGTAATTTCTATCGGGGAGACCCATGCCATGTCGGTATTGCATGTGATGTGACAGGAAGGAAGGTCCTTGTTCCCTAAAGTACTGAAGGCCACCCCATCATAGCAGTGAACTGAAAACCTGTCTTGTTGAATGCAGGTCCCAGATGAAGAACAGCCACTCAAAAGGGGCTGAGCCTGCAGGATGGTGTATGTCTATAGTCTCAGAATTTGGGAAGCTGATTGAGGGAGGTTGATGAGTCCCAGGCCAGCCTGGGCTGCAAGGTAAGCATTAGAAGTGCAGGTCAGTCAGGGCCTGTAAAGTGAGACCCAGTCTCAGACAAAACCAATCCAAACCAAACGACAAAAATGAAAACCACATAAAAGGGCCCAAACCTTTTGTGATATGCATTATTTCTGGGGGAAGGGTTGACAAAAATCAATTTGCTTTAGATTTCAAATCTCCCCTTGACTACAGGGATACATACATACATACAACGTATATACATATATATGCATATATACTCAGAGATGTGTGTCTTTGTAATTTTTTTTAAAAAATATCTCTTCTCCTATACTTGATGAGCATTATGGCCCGCTCCAACAGCACCTACTGCTTTCCCTTCTGATTTGTAAATTGGGACTTTTTTTCTACCTCAGTGAGGAAGGAAGCATGCGTAGAAAGATGTGAGTCATACGAAAGCTGTGCTCCCGGCCACTTTTCCTTGTTCCTATCATCCCATATCTGGCTCAACTTAATTTTTCTGTTAAGAAAAAATAATCAGGTTTCATATTCTCCAAACTAACAGTATTCCCCAGGCAGGCTCACTCAGGCTATCTGCATGATTGGAGTCATTCTGAAATCCCATCTGAAACAAATTTGGTCAGCTGATCCCCGAGCCTCTTGCCATTTAAGACAGCCAGGATAAAGTGTGATTTTTTTTCCCCCACCCTACCAGCTCCTCAGAAAAACAAAAATACCAATAATACTCCACCTGCAGGCCTCAGAATATTCATCCCCCTGATAGTGACGACAGACCTCCGCAAACCCAGAAAGAAGAGAGAATGCCAAAGGCAAGACTCCTTGCAGCCTGCTTGTCCCGTGTCTCACCATCAGAGCTGGGGATGGACGCCAGGCTGGCAATCTCATCCCCCAGCCACAGGATAAAAGGGGCACCATGCCAGCGTCTCCTTCCCTTGGATACTCAAAGCACTTATAATCTCTACTGCACATTCTGAGCTGAGGTAGTTTTCAAGTCAGCACTCGGGTATATTGTCTTTGTATCCTCCATCTGATTTATTGAAGCCTTGAAGGCTCAGAGACTTTATAAACTTGCTGATTGAGACCTTGCCGTGGCCTTCTTATGCAAGCTTCTAATAGCTGCTCGTGGGAAGAGCTTGAATGGAGAACAAATGACCCACAGTCCACACCTGATCTAGAAGATTTTAACCCTTCCTGTTAAGGACTTACTCCTCTCCAGCTAAAATTTAACTCCTTGTCTGCTGAGAGTTCTCCCCCCACCCTCCCTTTCTCTAAGGGTACGTACACTTTAATGCGGGTACGTGTGGAGGCCAGAGGATGACTTTTGGGGGACCTTCACTGACCTGGAACTCACTAAGTAGGCCAGCCTGGATGCCCATCAAGCCCTGAAGATATACATGTCTCAGACTCCCCAGTGCTGGGATTACAAGCTAGACTGTTTTTTTCCCCCCTCTTTGACATGGGCTCTTACTGTGTTGCTCTGTCTGGCCTGGAACTTGCCGTGTAGACAACACTGACCTGGCATTCACAGAGCTCTCACCTGCTTCTCCTCCTCAGTGCTGGGGTTAACAGTGTGGACTGCCATGCCTGGTGTACGCAGCCTTTTCTCTAGTAGACTTGAGAATAAATGTGGGTCCTCGTCCTTGGAAGGCAGGCACCTTCCTGAAGGAGCCATTACCCCAGCTCCCCGGACGCCTTCACCTTTCTCTGCTGTCCAAGCGCTTGGAGCTCTGACATTTCCCATCCCAATGAAAGTCTTCCACAGAACGGAGGAGGACAGTTACGCTTGGCTTTCTCTTTCTTGCTCGTCGAATCCCCTCCCTTTTTATTCATTCGCGGCCTCTGAACAGCTGCTAGTTCCTTCGCAATTGTTTACCCACGCGCTGCACGGTTTTTGCCAGCAGGAGCCTATATCCTTGATTCTCAGAGTTTCCAATGCTCCAGCAGCTGACACCTTATCCTGGGTGGAGTAGACCTGGAGATTCCTGAGGGGATGGAACCCACACCAGACTCTGCTGGAAGCCATCCCTAGTCCTGCTGATTAGGAAAGTCTGGGTGGAAGCCAGAGCGCCTGTAGTCCTCGTGAGTTCCCAGGTGAGGCTGATGCCGCTATTCTGGGGGCCACACTCTGAGACCCGCCCCTCTGAAGGTTTTCCCTTCCCTGGCACAGCCAGATGGAAGTGGATGATTCTTATTCCCTTTAAGACAGCTATCTTGGGGAGGAAAGATGATGGTATAGTGCAAACAGATGCCAACTGATCCAAACAAACAAACAAAATCAACTCTATGCACTGTTAATGTACACATAAGATCGGGGAAACCTTTCATGAACTTCCTCCATTCGAGACCTTAATCCATCCTCCTGATAGCTCCAGATCTTACCAAGGTCAACTCTGCCCTGTATCCCTCCTTCTTTCCTTTCGGACTAGAAACACTTTTCCCCGGCCTCCAAGCATGGTGTCATTTATATTTCCTGAAAGACATCCACAGTGCCCTGGAAGGTTTCCAAAAGGCTTGCTTGCACCTTTATCGGATTTACCAGGAAGCAGGTGGAAAGGCAGTGCGAATCTCCCGTCACCGTTTCCACACCAGTATCTTACAGGCTGG